AATCGGCGAAAAATCGAGTTCTTGACACCCTTCAAGTTTTTTTGATTTCTACGATAGAAAGAAGCATCGAAAATTTTCAGGGAACACATATTCTTGATCACCGTAAAATTCTCTATCGAGTGGTGTCTGAAACATCGAAAAAAAAAATTTTGCTCGAACCTTGCTTTGCGTGCACCTTATAATGAAGTAAAAACCATTTTTCAAAACGATAGGTTCATCTTGTTCAAACTTTCTTATAAGAGAGGAATTAGTAGAAAACAATGTCATAAAAAGATACGTCTAAAAGATTAATGCTGTTCTACCTTCTAAAATAATATCAGTCATCGTAGAGTAAGTTTAGCTATCAGTACCTTCATACAAAGCAGCAAATGAATAATTTTGCTCTGTATGCATCATGACTTCCTTTCGACTTTTCCTTTCTACTTTTTTAAAATGAAGTAATACCTTACATATGAGTGCATAAAAAATAATCTTGTAAGATTCGGTACAGATTTGACACAAATAAAAACAAATGCGATACACAGTATGGAAACACCTATGTTTTCAAAAGTAGGAAACATTTGACTTGTTAGACAGAGCCTAAAAACTTGATTCAGCAAAAAAGATGATGATTTAATTCGAGAAGAACTAACTATCGAGTTCTTTGTGGAATTTCTTAAACATTTAGAATACTCATAACATTTATATGCATTTTAGAGGAGAAGGTGTGAAATAATCGACCATTTACGAACTTCACCGCGTAAGATTATAAGTAACATGTAACATTAAAAAGTTCATTTGCAAAAGCATTTAAAACTGTATATAATGAATTTTTTCTTGGCAAAATTTATGTAGTAAAAACGAGTCATCGATTAGTCGATAATCAATCGGCTGCATTTTTCGAATCGCAATAATCAGTGGGTCAGCTCAAGATACTATGGAAAACGGAAAAGCAGACGGTTTTTGCAGAATAGCTGATCGATCGATCGTAATTGATAAAAGAACGGATTAATACACGGCATGTATCACATTCTGTAAGTGCGACATCATCCGCCCTCCAAGAGGTTTGTTCTTTCTGGAAATAGACGCGCCCGAGACTCGAGTCTCAGGCGCGTAGTTCTTGTTGGATCTTGGAAAGTAAATCTTTATACTAAACTGTATCAAAAGCTTTTCTAAAGTCCAAAAACATGGTTAGAATTCTTTTCTTCTGATCAAAGGTAATAACACTTTATGTACAACAGCAATACGCTAGTTAATAGTCGAATCGCCACCTTGAAATCCAGACTGATTTTTACTAAGAAGTCCATATTATGTTAAATATCCATATATTTTTCGATGCACTAAAAGCTCAAATATTTTAGACAGGACAGAAAGACGTGTTGGTGAATGGTCCTTTCCAATGTTATCTGATGAAACAAATATAGATTATGTCAGTCCAGCTCATCATCATCGGTTTGATGGTCATGATACATATGAACATTTTACATTTGAACTTATTCAGTAATTTTTGTCCGAGAAGAATTTATGTATATTAGACAGTTTTTATAAAATAGTTTAATATAACCATTGAATTCAAGTCGAGTAAAGTGTTTGTTATTTTTCTCTTTACAAATACTCAACATTCAAAAGAAAGCAGAAGCAGTTGAATACGGCACGTAGAAGAAACATGATTTTTCGTTCAATTATCTATTCTTAGTTTGAGTAAAACATCTGTTTTCGAAGTTCTTTTCATGCACATTCCACTATCCATGAATATGATTTTTCTCTCCTTTGATGTGGGAAAATCAATCGTGAAAGAAGGACATCTGTTCTTTTATCGAGTCTACGTCTTCATCATCATTTGGAGAAAGAAAGCAGAAAAGAAGAACATAAACACACATGGTAATAAGTGAACGAGACAGAGCATTGGTTAACGTTAATTTAGGACTCTGTAAATAACTGTTAAAAGGTAGATAAATAATATAATTTTGCTTTGCTCTTCGAAGGACTGACATTAGTAATAATAGAAGCCACCACACAACAAACCTGCCAGTCCAATATGTGCTGAGAAAATTAATATTATAGGCGCCTGGTATCAAATCAGCAGAACATTTAGTCGTGTGGTCCTCATTTAACAGCAAAGATGACTAGAGAACAGCTTCTTCATGTTGTAGTTATATCTGTTTTTTTTCTCATACTGGTCATCATCAATTAGGCACAGTCGGTCAAATGAACAAAATCGATCTCGTTCAAAATATAATCTGTTATTATTCAAGTAATTTATAGGTATATTTTTAGCGCGTTATGATTAGTTTTGATTTGCCTGTTAGTGAGGTAGCTCGACCGACAGTCACTTCACTAGCTAAACCGAACTGGAAGGTGTTTATAATTTTTGTGGGCGGATTATTTCATCGGATATAGGTTGTCGCAAGGCTTTACACTCGAAGAAAACGGTGTCATGAGGCTCAACGTAGTCAACAAGTCGCACTCCTTTTTAATTCATTAGACCATTGGCTGCTATAATTTGTTATTGATTCGTGCTATTCGTTATTGTTCAAATGTTTATGATTTCGATCGAGAAGGTCTCCATATTGAATTAACCTTTTTGGCAAATGGTTTTCCTTTATCAGTAATTGAATATTATTTGGAAATTTTTTTCTTCATTTACAAATTTTTTCTCTTCGAATTGAACGCGATCAAAGTGTCTATGATCGAGTTCGTCTTCAACTTTTTCAATTGATTGATAAAGAACAAGCTTTATTTGAACAAAAAAAAAATTAGAAAATAAACATCAATTATTTCATTTATCTTATTCATATGAATGAGGTCCAAGACGTCATCTCAAGCAACAATTTCGACAACTTTGGACTTGTTATATCTATCCTTATCTAACGTTAGCAGGGGTTCAGGTAAAATTCGTTTGACAACGAAACGTTTTCATTCATCAAATACTTTATTGGCTCAAACAAAACCAATCGATCTTATTTTAAAAAAAACATAAATCAATCTTTATGTGTAAGTTTTATTGTTTCTTTAATACTATGTCAGTCTAATATTCTATTCCATTTAGGAACTTCCATGTCTACACTAATCAAGAAATTTGTTTTTTTCTCTATTTCAATCTTTTTGTGAATCATTTTCTTTCATAGTAGTGTTCTTGTCTTTTTCTTATTTTATCATTCTTTTTCATGTATTCATTTATCATTATTACAGATGAACAACCACTGTCATATCTAATGATCAAGGTCATCCAATTGAACCACGATGAATACGAATGAATATCAACCAAGAACATTAATTTCATCCAATTTGATGAGTCAACGACGTGGTTCATTATTACCTGCTTATCCATCTCATAAATTTGATACACGATCGACCTTATTATTATTGGCAAATGTCAATACTATTGATTGCGATTTAATGGAAGTCTTATCCTATTCTGGTGATAGTAATCATGGTAATCTTCAATATTGTCCGTTTACATTTAATATTAATTCCAATCATGAATTTCTTCCATCGTATTTGCTCAATTTTTATCAAAAAGTTTATCTTGATACAAGTCATCGATGGAAAATTCCATTATCTTTGATCGATTATAATTTAATACGTCTTCATAAATGTATGGATAGATATAATAAACAAGTTGGTGAAGCAGCACTAGCATTCATCAATGAATTACCATTATCATTGGAATTTTATTTACAAATTGATGGTAATACAGTATATTATTTATGATATCGTAATTAGATATATTGACATGTATTCTTCTTTCTTCTTCTTTTTTAGTTGATCTTTCTTAGTATTTCTAATAGCACAACATACAAATTCAATTTTGTTCGAGTTTGAATTTATAACATTATGTACAGTACATAATTGTGTTGTTCCATCAAACGGCATATTCCGACATCAATGCACATACCATTGACTTGTTTTTTTAACTGTTGATCTACACATACATCTTGAAATTCACGTAAATTTTTTATAACAGCTGTAACATACACTTTTGTTGTTTTCTTAATAGTAAATTTTGTGTCACTCGTCTTGTCTGAAGCATTATTTCGAATTCGATCATAAATTTTCGAAACATCATCCTTGATTCGTTGAATAATTTGTTTTGCCATTTCGCTTAATTTTGTATTGTTTTAACCGAAAAAATTGTTCTCTCAAACAGGTCTTTTCAAAAAATATTTCTATAGGTCATAAAACGTAAAAAACGTAATCTTGGCAGAGCTCTGCATGTGATGGTATATCAAATGGGATGGAAAGAGAGGGTGAGGGAGTGCTATATCTCACCTCCACCCACCCACACCCTCACTCTCACCTCAAGAATAAAAGCATTATCGCATCTAGAATCATTTTCTGCATTATTTCAAGTTCAGCATTGTTGCAACCAACTTACATTCGACAATCATACAAATATCAATTGTGACTAACTTCACACGTTATTCTTCCTCATATTCCTGACCGAAGGCATCTCTTCATCTCATACATACGTTTTTATTCATACTAATCGTTCTTTTCTCTTTTTCTGTTCATATTGCATGCAAAAATTCATTCATTTATTGGATAAAACAAGAGCCAGTGTGTCATTCCCTTACATAAACGGCTGAGAATTGATGTGGCTTTTTCATTTTATTATAAGTAGTTCTATCTAGATTTATTTTATTACGCATCCTAGGATATTCAAAAATAATTCTCATGACGATGTGTGTCACTCTCGCTAGGTACCTATCTCCTAATGTATTGCATAGGATTGGTTATAATCAAAACTATTTCGAAGAATATCATGCGATTTCGTTTCATTCGACATCGAGCACTTGTGGAAAAATATTATCGTTTCGAGATCCAACCATTTGTCTTTGTCCATCAGATGAGGATGAAACATCACAACCATTTGCATATGTTCGGACTAAATATTTTACTTCAAACCAATTCACAAAATGAACATTGCTATCTTTATATCAAATGCGTTCGGAACAAACATTGGAAATGTTCATGAAAAAATGGTCTCAACTTCTACAGCTGACTGATCCGAAATTGAACAAGTTATTGCACGGAAACTATAGAACCTAGTCCTAGTGCTGTTAAGAATAGTATCTGCAAACGAAAAACACTTACCATTTATATGAACTCTTTCAGCGGACACCAAATCTTGAAGAAATTCTGATAAAAAATCTCGATGTTGCTGAACGAAAATTAAAGTTATTCATGCTCTCGAAGATGATTAGTTTAGAAATGCATGTTGAGAAATACGAAGACAAGATAATTAAGCTTTTTAAAAACATAAGCAGTTTGACAAAATTCAAGATACGATCCACGAATATACACATAAACGGAAACGATTGGCAATGAATAAGTGAGACTCACTTTCCACAACTCGAAACACTACAGTTCAAAACGAGCTACTTACCTCCTATCACGAACTACCGACAGCAATTCAAAGATTTTCTCGGCTCATTTAATAATGTATTTTGGTTAAACGAGGAAAAAAACAGCAGAAAGGTCGTCCATAGTTTGTTCGTTGTCATTTAATTTCAAGAATCCCAACCTCTTCTTCATTAATGTCGTTATCTGTTCATTGCGCCATCTTTCGATAATCAGTTTTTGTCTGCTGGTACAAACTTAAATTCATTAAAGTCACTTGAAATATCAAAATACACTTCATTTTCATCTGTCCAAGCTTTTTTTCTTTTTTTTTAAATCAATCAACTACACTCAAATCGTTGACATTTCACGATTGTATGTTTCAGTTAAGGAGCAAAACAGTTCGTCGACTTGATCTGCTCAGTCACTGTGACTACTTAACCAGTAAATCATGTGATAAACTGTGTAATTTCACATTTGATAGAGAGTGCGAGATACTTTTAATAGAGATACAAGATGAAAATGATATACAATCACTAATCGATAAAATACCTAATCTTCGTGTGCTCACAATTCAATGTTTGAACAATTTATGGAATAAAGAATCAAACTTGACGGATAATGAACTAGCGAAAACGTTGCGTGATCGTTGGCGAACACTTGTAATTGATAAAGATCCACAAAATTGTAATTGATAAAGATCAAACGTTGTATTCGAATATGGATCCGTTAGCATGTTTAACAGATGTATTTTATTATCATTATCCAAGCGATACAATCTCTCATCAATTATCCTAGAAAACTTTATGGATAAACTCGACTATTAGTCAATAAAGAATTCGAAGTTTTTTTAGATAAACAACACGTTTATGATAAATTGATCTGAGATGTTTGAACTAGAGATGTAACAATACCAATACCCCAATACCGTATCGGTATTGTTACATCCCTAGTTGAACCGATATAATAATACAACATGTGTCATTTGTTGTTGCTTTTTTATTACATTTGTTTGAACAAGATATTTTAGTATGTGTTTGAATATTCGTACGAACAAGAATGCATATTCCATTTATTTTCATTAAAAGGCTTTTCTTCTTTTCTTCAGATGAGATGTTTTTGACTAGGGGCGGCACATTACTATTACTGTTACCAGTAATACAAATATTGTATATATTACTGTTACTGGTAACAGTAGCCTTCCATGGATTCCTATTACTGGTAACAGTAATACTGAACAGTATTCCTATTACCAGTAACAGTAATACTGGAAGTATTGCTGCTACTGGTAACAGTAATGCTCATAAAATTAGTATTACTTTCCAGTAAAGTAATACAAGGAAAAGAAATTCAATAGAGGGCGCCACAATCAACACGAAAACATCATATCACTAGACGCCGCTAGTGTCCATTGCGCCTGGCGACATCTAGTGATATGATGTTTTCATGTTGATTGTGGCACCCCCTATTGAATTTCTTTTCCTTGTATTACTTTACTGAAAAGTAATACTAATTTTATGAATATTACTGTTACCAGTAACAGTAATACTTTCAGTGTTACTGTTACTGGTAATAGGAATACTGTTCAGTATTACTGTTACCAGTAACAGGAATACCTTTCAGTATTACTTTCCTCGGTAATATAATACATGAGTAATAGTAATACTGCCATTCCTATTTTTGACGTCTCACATTATAATTATTGCTTCGTTCTTTTGATAATAACTGGTCTGTTTATGACAATTTTTATGCACTTTTCTAATATTGAAATGAATCGAAAAATATTTATTAAACATATGACAGCTCATTCTGATCTCACTAGTATCTTGTCAAAAACAAAATCAGAATTATTTTGCATCTCTTATTATTTTCATAATTATAAAATGAACGTTATTTCATTTGTTTGATATCAAAAACCGACGACAGTACGTTCTGTTAACTACCTCGAACATCCAATATTACCATGTCTTCGTCTCCCAATATACTTTCGACAGCGCAATTAGCACCAAAATATTTATATCAGTTTGGTAGTCCAGTATTGATGCTTATCGGTACTGTGGGCTGTATATTGAATTTACTTGTATTTAATCGAAAGAATCTACGAAAAAATCCCTGTTCAATCTATTTTAGTGCCTACAATCTTGCCAATTTTGCATATATTTGTTCTTCATTATTACCTTTAACATTGAGTCTAGGATATAGCATTGATTTTAGTACACGCAATATAGTTATATGCCGTGTGCGTCTTTACATAACCATTTTGTCAAATGTTTTAAGCCCGTTTTATTTGATTTTGGCTTCGATTGATCGCATTTTCATTACTTCAACAAATGTTCTTACACGACGACGAAGTACTCTTCGTTTTGCTTATATATATGTTGCTATTGGAACATTATTTTGGGCATTGTTTCATACTCATACGTTGTTTCTAACAAATATTATACACATTGGTCCTAATACATTTATTTGTTATTTTCAATTAGGTGTTTATCTTTCATTCAACACTTACTATTCACTTTTCAAAGCAACAATTACACTTTTATTAATGACAGTATTTGGAATGTGGTCTATCAGAAATATTCGAGGTCTTCAACGAGTTAAACCTGCTACTATTGTATCTTCCACTGTGACTACAGTAGTTAGTGGTCCACATTCTAATTCATCAAAAGATCGTCAACTTACTTTTATATTACTTATGGATATCATCACCTATGCATTATTCAGTTTCGCTTTGGCAATCTATCTTATCTATCAACAAATAACACAAAATTACGTTAAAAGTGCTCAGCAAACGCAGATTGAAAACATTGTTAGTAATCTATGTCTGTTTAGTGCTGGTATTCCATTCTCTATTAGTTTTTATGGAAATTTAATCATATCGAAAACGTTTCGAACTGAAGCCAAGAAAATACTTTCATGTCAACAGATTTTTCCCAACCACTAAATTTGAATTATTCATATCCTACTAACAACTGCATGTTGTAACCCCGTACCTTATTTGTCTAAATAATAAAAACTTGAAAGAATTTTAGATCAATGAGATTCTACTGCAATGCCTCTGTAATGTATGGAAACGAAAGGATTCTAATGATTAGGGATGGAATAAATAGCAGTCACTTATCGTTCTGTCACCGATCCATGTTATCCAAGGGATATCAGGAATCAGTGACTAGTAAGTGGGTCAGTGATCGGTATCAATTCCATCCCTATAAAATCTGTTGTTATATTGAAGAAGAATATTTCTTATAATTTTTTATCTGTTTCAAAGTTAATTAGACTTTCTTATCTATTTGTCAGATAAATAAGTTTCTCTTTCTAGTGAATGTCGTTTTTCTCCATGAAAAACTTCTGTTTACGAGAATTTAAAAATGTAACCGTCTTTTTTTGATAAGTAGAGATCAGAAAAATAAGCCAATCAATAAAAAAAATGATTAAATAGTTAAAACGTGTTCTCTACACTGAAATTCCTCTGAATGAGATCATATTTTAGCTAACGTTGACTTAATCTAGAATTAGTTATAAATTAATGATTTTTGGGCATGCAGATTAGATCAATCATAGTATGGCTATTTTTGTAACAAAATCGAAAACCACCTGATCATATTTTGTAAAATGTTGCGCTATTCTATCCGACGTGAGAAAGAGGATAATAAAACTCAACTCGGCTCGAGATGAAGCATATTTTTAAAATTAACTGAACGGAGCTTTTTCATTGATTAAACATTCTCTTGATGAGTTTGCATAAGCTTTCTTAAAACTCAAAAGAATAAAATTTTTATCTGATATAGAATCATTGTCTGTCTAATCAATATTGTTCAAATTGTTGTGATCCAATTTGAGTCGAGCTCTAAAACTGTAATTTTTCAATATCTTATCGAGATAAACGGCCGCTTGAGAAAATATTCATACTAAATATTACCTTGAATTATAATGAATACAATGTTTTTTTCAATTTGAATAGTTTTGTTAATCACAATTCAATTTGTCTCTCCAACAAAACCATGTATGAATGTTAATCTGAGATCAACACGGTCAGGTTTCTTTAATATCTTTTTATACAAATCCATTGTTGAATTCGACTACGGTTTTGAATGTTATATACAGTTTAAAAAGTAAAAAACTAAAATAGGATAAGATCTGTTCATATTCTTTTGTAAAAATAATCTTCGAAAGTAACTTGAAAATAACTTTCTGCTTTTCTTTATTAACTGAATAAAATCCTTACATGAAGGTGTTTCATTATCTTAAAAAAACAGAATGAAATTCAATCGTTACATAACAGGATGAGTTAAGAGGATGTTATAGATGAATTATATTTCTCATTAACTATTATTTGTTTTTCTTAAGGGATCTCCCCCCCCCTCACAAATGATGATTTTCGGGCAATAAATCAGTTTTGAGATACGCACATGGAAGGATAGCCTGAAGTGTGTACTTCCAGAATCTGTATTGCTTTTGGTTACAAAAGTGGTTTTTCGGGAATTTTGAGCAAGTTTTCTAAGAGCCCAGAAAAAACGGGTGTTCAAATAATGGTTTTTTCCTGGATACTTATGCAATTAAAATTTTTCTGAAAACACAGCTTTGTAGAGCGGTCTTAGGTCTTAGTTTTTTGTCAAACTGAGGATTTTTAGAAAATTCGGAATGATTTTTCGGGTTTCGGAGGTTGTTGGTTGCCTAGAAAACCAATAAAGGCTTAACTGAAAAATCGGCCAGTCAGTCGATGCAGTTAGGTGTCTAGTTTAAAATAAAACAAACTCGAACTCTCCAGCTTGAAGTATATTAAAAAATCTTGGGAAGCCGTTCAGGGACCTTTTTGGACCTTGATCTCTGGAAAACTCCTGAACCGTAAGACTTGGAGACAAAAAAATTTTTTCATTCCCGTAACTCATTGTGCCGAACATTTATGGAAAGTTTCGTCAAGATCATATGTACGGAGCTGGAGATAATTTCTGAGGGGAGGGGCCCTTAATTATTTTTCCCTTTTCTGAAAGAAAGGGTTATACGGCCGTAAGTATCTTTAAGGTTTGTCAGCATAAGCCAATCAGCAAATCGGTTGGATCGATAAGAATATTCTTTAATATTCCCCTAAAAATATTCACCAAAGGTTTTTAGGGTCGGGGGGTCGAATTTCACCATTAGTTTTTGATGATTTTGCAAAAAAAGATCTTTTTTAAAAAAATAATGATTTCTTCCAGGGACTGAAGACAAGAGCATATGAAAAAAATAAGTTTGTATAAGTCTTACATGTTTAGTTGCATTTATGTTTTCTATATCGAACCTTCATACAATCAATTATTTTTCGCCGTCTGCTGTTATACTTAGCGGTGGAAGCGACTAGCCATGAGTTGTGCTCGGTAGGAATGAACCACTGGTTGCCGGTTTGTGAGATTCAATGAGGATAGTTTTAGAGGAGGTCCGAAAAAAATTTTGCATCTGTTTCGAGAAAACTTCTTTACGATTTCGGTATTTAGAAATTTCAGTATAACGGGGATTTGTTAGAAAAATCGCGGAACTGAGCTTATAACTGATAGTTAGCAACGAAACACTATTTTCAGTACTCTGATCGAGAAGTATTTTTCTAGGAATGGAATAATTTTCTGTGAGAACTCAAAATTTAGACTGGCAGTTTGTAAAAAAACAACTTTTCAGCGCAGTCCTTAAATAGGTTTCAGTATGCAACTTTTGTATCTGGTTTTTAGACTCATTAGGGCAATACGATAGATCTTAAATAAAGAATTTCTAATAAATCATGATTTCTCTCCAATGTTAGTCAATTGTCACACAACCACTGTGCCCTTTATCCCTGCATTTCTGATAGAAATTTCGTTTTACTTTGATTGTCGTGATATATTATATTTTATTCGTGCCGATTGATCGGCTAATCATTTTTTGTTTCACTTTTCCTCATTTATAAACGTTTCTTTCCCTTTTAACACTGATTTAACAGCTAGCCTAACTTGTTTCGTAAATATATGGAATAAATCCACAATGGACTTTAGCAAATCATCGTGTGTTCCGATATATACAGAAGCTCTTTTCTAGAAAATTTAACCATGTTAATCATGCGTAAAATAAATTAAATTCACACTCAACAGCTGTCTAGAAATCGATTCACAGCTTGTTTTATTTTATCATTTTCAATCGGAACCGCATTTCTGAACGCAGAAAGTACGAATTTCATCATTTCTAACCGTTTCTGCACTAACCATATGTTTTGAAATACATTTCTGGCAATAACTCAGTCAACCCTGAGGCTCATGAAAATCAAGATTTTCTAAAGAACCCCGTGAAGATCAAGGTTATAACCTAGGATTTCTGCATAAAAACAAGCGATCTTCCAAGTATGCCGGAAACTGGAAGCTCCTAGCTAAGTGTAGAGAGCTAAAAGATAACTCTATAATCTGTAGATATGGTAAATCTTCACGGGGTTCTCTAGAAAACCTTGATTTTCATGAGCCTCAAGGTTGACTGAGTTATTGTCAGAAATGTATTTCAAAACATATGGATAGTGCAGAAACGGTTAGAAATGATGAAATTCGTACTTTCTGCGTTCAGAAATGCGGTTTTTATACGAAATAACCGCTTTAAAAAACTGTAAGATGATGCACGAGTAAAAAGTATAGAAAAAGTTTGGCTCCGAAGTTCCGGTTTTTTGCCAATTGTAGTCCTACCTTTTGTGAACAGATTTTGTAGCAAACATATGTCTCAATTTTGTACTTCGGGTAGCAACTACATCTTTTTTTCTAAAAGCCTCTCCAAACGCCATGTATTTGTATGGAAGTGTCGAAATTAGGAAAGAAAAAGACGTAGAGTGTCGAAATAAGATGAAGATATAATTTCGACACACATATATGGTCATTGTTCGCTGGAGAAGAGCATGAAAACATGTGGTCTTTTCAAAAAAATATATATGGTTCGATTCGCCATAGTCTTCTGAGTAATGCTATATAAAAATGAGAAGGTTTTGATCAACTTGGTAAGCCACAAAAACTTTTTTTTTGATACAGATGTAAAAACTCCATGTATTTGTATGGGAGTGTCGAAATTAGGAAGAAAATATACGTGGCGTGTCGAATCTAGAAAGAACAGGAAAGGAAAAAATTTGAGACACATGCTTATTCTAATCCTTTTATCTCAACTAATATAACTGGCAACTCAAATATTTTTACATAGATCGACAGGCCTGAATGTCGGCTATGTCGCTATATAAAAAGTTTTACTCTATCTTAATAATTAACTGAGAAAAATATGAAATAGGAAACCCAAAAAATTTAGTGTCGAAATTAGGGCATGTGATTCTGCTGGTTCACTTTTTTTCGTTTTATCAGAACAACAATCTTAATAAAAATTAATATAAAAGTTTTAGGCGCGACTATTCTAACAGTCAGTGACATACAGATAACCTTGTCTATCGCATGATATATCTTCCAGATTGTGAATTGATTTGGGTGTTCTGTATATTTATCTATAGGAACAATATCACTTCGGTTAGATTCTTTTGACCCGCCTATTATTCAATTATTGGAATATTTAGCCACATACACATGACTGACATGATTAGTAATCAATCCTATAAGATTACACAATTCTCTCAAACTGTTCCTTGATCTTGTTCACCAGCAAATACAATAGCTTTTTCTGCATCTTTCGTCCATTTCATCATACGACACTTGTAATAATTTAACGCATAAACCGAAGGATCTTGATGGACAAAGATAGAAAAAGAATTATCGAGTTGATTGACATTGTATTTCCTCGACGATTTCCACCCAAACGGTTCTACGTAAAAGTTTGAACAAAGTTGAAACAAGTTCACCTTTACTTCATCTACCGTACTTCTCATACTACACAAAAAAACAAAAGAAGCAATTTTCAAACAATTGGGTAAGTGTTTCCTTTTCCTTTTCGTTTTTCCGGTTTAATTATTTCTTCTCCTTCGATTTATCATTTTTTATCAAACAGCTTCACAACGTCCTTTTTGATTCTTCAATTGTTATTTTGTTGTTGTTTACATTTAGTGACGCTTTGTGATAGTTTAGCTTCTCTTATCTTTTTAGTACCGCTTCTTGAAAATACTAGTCACACATCACTAATAATATTGTTTTTTCTCAGTTATTTATTTTTCTCTTCTCTTCAACCAGTGTAAACTGCAGTGTTCGCTCAATACCTAGTCTATTTGCTATCTGTTTTGGTGTCAATTGATAAAACCAGTGGTTTCAAATTAGTTAATCTCTATAGAAATTCGAAATATTATCGGCTCACGAGGAAACCTCCCCAAAACATGTTGATGATGATGATAAAATAATGAATGAAAGAAATTTAATTGCGAATCGATTAGAGAGATTAAATATTATTGTTGATGATGCAACATCTATTTGTCCAAAGCATCGAAGTTCATTTGGTATTGTTTGGTTTCAGAGTAAACAGTGTTATCATCCTGATTATGATCCCAAGCGTCCAGCACATTCAACAGATTGTCGTCCTGCTTCGCTAGATGTTTCATCTCGTATCCAAGATTTTCCGATCGGTGGTTGGTAAGTTATGAGCTTTTTTCAGTTTATGAATTCTAAACAAGTAAAATCCTCAAATTCTTAGTTTATGTACAGTACATAGAAAAAATCAGCAGAAAATTGATCGCCACTGCCCAAGCATGGATGACATTACAATTGGTACTCAAAGCAGCAATTTTATCGTTGATGATACGCGTACACATGTGAATCAAATTCTTGAACAAGCTAATATTAGTCCGATTAATTCTCAATCTAGAAAAACCCTCAAAGAACAACCAGCTAGTGGAATTAGACGTCTGTTATCAAAGTTTAGACGTACAGTCGATACACTTCGTTGTAAAGTATTTTCCTTCTATGTACTATCTCTTTTACAATATAATGTTTGCGGACGTTTTTTGAATATCTCAGGAACGAAAAGAGCTAGAGCCCGGTGGTTTTTAGCAGTCGATAGAGAACACTCGGGGACGTTTTCTCGTAAGCAAAACAGATTTCAAACCCTTTTCAACGTAGAGTTTTGAGGAGATCTTTGGAAAACACCATCTGGATCCGCGAAAATTAACGTGACAATAAAATTCTTTTTCTACATGAATAGATAACCCAGAGCGTTCTCTTCAAAATGGAAGCCAAGCGAGGCAAGCAAAACAGTCTGACGACCTAAATTTTTGTAAAATTTAATTTCCACTAGATTTTTGAATTCTTCTCTAAAAACAAACACTGCCATCAGATTCAGCTTGGTCCATTATGTATGTTCCATGCCATTTTACGACTATCCCAAGTTACCGGATACCACTACTGGGACTCCAAAGAAAAACCCGATACCACACCCGGATCACTAAAAGTCAAGGCCTCGCTTGGCTTCCATTTTGAAGAGAACACTCTGGGCTATCTATTCATGTAGAAAAAGAATCTTATTGTCGCTTTAATTTTAGGAGAACCAGTTTAGTTCTCTGAAAGTTGGTGTCGAAATCCATGAATTGTTTTACGTAGATATATAGTTCGAAGTGTTCTCTACAAAACTGGATCCAAACGACATCTTAGAAATCCATGGTTCGGGAGTTATGGACATTTTTCTACTTTTTAAAATAAAAAGTGGGCGGGACGGGACGACTTTTTTGTCGTCTCGCGGAGCTCTGGTCAGCAGAGTGGCTGAACTCTTGATCTGTTTTGAATTATTTTGGAAGCCGTTATTTTCGAATTACTATGTAATTCATTTACGTCATCCAGTGTCGAAAGTAATTCTATTTTCTCTGTTCTGTCAATACAGAGCGGCGTTATCTTTTCAACTATCTCTTTCTTGGGCAAACATTGAGAAAGGTGCACTTCGTTTCACTTAACACGCTTCTTATTTTTTCCTTTTCAACAAAATGGCCTCCTCCTGTACCTCTTCATCGTCAAAGCCATGCGTCGTTGACGGTTGTAAATTATCAGCACGCGGGATTTGCGATTGCTGTTTACAAAATTTATGCCGTACACATTGGCATGAACATGCAGATCTAGTTAATGTTCAACTCAATCCATTGGTCGATGAAATTAATACTCTTGCAGATGATTTTGCTCGACCTAAAGAGCAGCAAAATTTTCTAGACATCAAGACGAAACTGGATGTGTGGAGACAAGAAGCAGTAAGTACAATTAATGAATATTATGAGAGAAAATGTCGAGAACTAGATACAGTAATGACAATTGAAATGAATGAACAACGGGAAGAAGTGGAGAGAAAGAGAGTTTATGTGGCTGAATTAATACGTGAAAAAGATGCCACAAGGGAGAAAATTGATTCGTTGACAAAGATTATGATTGCTCTAGATAAACTTGAACAACAAACGGTACTAGTAAATCTGGAAATTCGACCATTGAAAATTGATGAAAATTCTATTAGTATTAACAAAGGAGCAGTAAAAGATGCAGCACTTATATCATTTCAATTAGGAAAACCATATAAATCACTCGAACTGACAAAGTGTGATTCAAGTGCCCTTGGCACTAATGGACAATATATTCTTGTACATAAGGAGCCAAATATCTGTCTTCTCGATGAAGATCTTCAGATTAAGATGCAAGCACAGTGGACTTATAATAATCATGGTTGTATCAATCATATATGTTGGAGTTCTTCTGTTGAGAAATTCATTCTAGCAGCATACCACGGTCTATTTAGTTTTGATACAAAGACGAGAAAGATTGAAAAATTACTGAATGAATACCATATGACTTGCACTTGTTCACCAGATTCTATATATTTGGTTGACGAAAGTTTCAATAAAATAATAAAATATCTTGTAGCTGCCTTGAGCTTATCGCCTCCACCGAAATCCGTTTATGAATATACAGAGAACGAATACGTTGAAAGTATGGCATACAACAATTCAAAACTTGCTTTGGTCGTTGTCAATCGCCAGGGTCATACAAGTTTCGGTCGCGTTGATGTTTTATCTACGCCATCATACGATCGAACATTTTCTTTTTCCCTTGAACCGGCTAACGTACTGAATTGTGCACTAAAAATTATATCTTTTGGAGTACGCGGCTGGCTAATAGTCTATCCACAAACATGTCAATTGCAGGAGATCACACAAGATGGACAAAACAGACAAATGGCAACTTATGCTAGTGATATCCCGTGGAATGCTGTTTTTGTAGGAGATAGGACGTTAGCTATATCAACAAGCAGTGGTATTTGTCTTCACAAACTGTTGTAAAACTTGATTCTCCAAAATAATGGAAATAACATTTGTGTGTGTGTATGCAGTTTAAGCAAGGTGCATTTTGACCTCTTTTCCTATTGATGAATGGAATAAAGCTTTTTTTGAGAAGAAAAAAGATTTTTGTGCGTGTCTTTGAAGAAGGTTCATATAAACGTATCCTTTGTTGGGTAAGGTTTAAGAAAGTCGAAATCAATCAATGTATCGAAATAGATAACGGACAATTCCATTAATTCTATATTAATGAACAAAGGACGGACCAAAACTTAGGTTCATATACTTTGTAAAAAATCTTTTCCCATCCTAGGGAAAGAAAGTTTTCAAGTTCTATGAGTTTGTTTAGTTTTGCATGCACGAACGAAGGACTTTTTTTGACAATTTCGGACATGATTTCTTGGTAAAATGAATAATTTTATGTATATAAAATTTATTCGTACTCTTACTGCTCTTTCTTACTTCTTCACGATCAAGTAATCTTTCTCTTTAAAGAAAAATTAAGAAATAAAACATATTTATTCAAAAATATTCTATCTCTTTATTGCTTTAAGGACAAATGTATGTGAAAAAAGTATACTAAATGAATGATTTCACCCACATATTTCTTCCTACGTATGTCATATCAAATAATAATGTAATCAATTTCTCTTTCTGTTCATATGATAAGTCTATAAAAGACTTTATCTAAATAAAAAAGTTTAGACGAAAAACAAGGTAAGACGTTTGTATTTATATCCAACTGTTCATGGCACCCAACCCCGTTTTTGGTCAATGATTCTATTTCTAAATAAACATGCCCTAAGATACATCAAGTGTGCTCTACACCTGAGGATCAGTCTTACCTCTCCATGACATTTACTTAGAAAGTTATACGGATTTCAAGTTGTACTTAAAAAGCCACAGTTTCTCAGTTTGAATTTTATTATTATTTTCAACAACTTAAACATTTTTTATTCCGGCCATTATGTAGAGCAAACTTCTTTTACATTCGACGTCTCTTAACGCTTCACACTGTTTCGTATGGAAGTTATAATGGTTCTACGAAGAGCTACGAAAAGTGGCGTCCTTATTATGTCTTCCTCCTCTTCACACTGTCAAACCTCGTCTCGTTCGAGTTAATACCGACACACCCCATTTGAAAGACATCTTTGCAGTAGTCTGGAGAGCTTTTAAAATCAAAGCCTTCGTGCTTTGATATATTATATCACTAAAATATGTTAAAAACAGTGGTTTTTCCTTTCTTTTGCTATCAATAATATTTTTAAAAAGCAAAAAAGAGTCCTGCGAAAGAAACATCTGTACTTGTGGTATAATCTTCAGCTTGATCTAGCTATAAAGTCAGATATAAAGTTTTGAGGGGGTTATAACGATATCGCCTGAAAATCCTTAGTGAAACTTGTTGGATACGTTTGGGAAAACGTGTCGATTTTCTTTTTTGACGTTATACCTCGAGTAAAAATTCCAGATCAATCGATCCTTTGCCCGTATTTGCCATTAAGGTTAAACTAGAAGGGATACCTTTTAAAACCGTATGTATGTACGATTTATCAACATATGTAATTAAAAAACAGTGTTTTCATTTATTAGACAATCTATCAAACGAATAGAACTAAAAACGTTGAAACTTCATTTTCTGTTGATCGGTGTATCGGCAATTATTTTGATTAGATAAACTCATAGTAGTTGCTGGAGTGATTGGAGTCGTTGTACAAGTTGGAGTTCGGGTTTGTCAGGTTTTCTGTGGCAAACGTGTGAACAACGTTGTCGTTGTAAAGGTAATTCTGGTGGTAATTGTGTTGATGTGTCGAATACGTGTTCGTGGTTACCTAAAGACTCCAAAATAAGTCAATGTCAATGTTATGGAACTAATTCTCAAAAACTCTCGTGGTGGTGTGGATTTTAGCCGCCTACTCGTGAACATTTTTAAATCAAAGTCAAAACGAAGTTAATCATGCTATTTTTTATAAATTTTTTATAAATCACCTTACAATTGATATACGCGAAGCTTATATTTTCCCAACTCTTTCTGTTCTTGCGCAATACTTTCGTCAGTCTGTGATCTTCCTAACTATTTCTGTTGGTATGTAATTCATGAGCAACTCTTGTTTAACTTTGTACTATATATAGCTGTTCATTTGCTTCAAATAAAGATATCGGAGTGAGAGTTGATTCTCACTAT